GGTCATGTCACATATTCAACTTGGGACATGTTAACTATACTTAAAACAAGAGTGTCTGCACATTCAAGCAGTACAATAGGTGCTAAGTTCAATCATATTGTAGCAAAGTTATAACTGCTCACAGGAGAAGTATCTCCAGATCATATTAAGTAACACTTTAGGTCATGTGTATATGAAATGATGGGGTGGGGTGCACAACACTTTAAAGCAGGCTAAATGCTTCTGCACTACTTTAATAGTGTCAGTGTTTGCACACCTTGGCAGTGTATTAGACATTAATTTCAGCCGCTGTAGGAAATTCGGTGGTGTAATGCGCCTTAAATGACTTGGGGTGCAGCAAACTTAAACTCCTTCGAGGAGATTTAGTTTGCTGTGCCTACAGCCATGGCGTGAAGCACCGGGCTCCGTGCAGCTCCACAGCCCTGCAGAAAGCCCTGCAGGCAGCCTGGCAACAGGCTGGGAAGGCAGGCTCCACCCAAGAAAAGTGGTGAGCCTGCTTTTTTTTTTTCTTCCCCTTAGAGCCTGCCTGCCTGCCTGAGTTGTGTAGGGGCCTGGTGCTTCCCTTCACGGCTGTGGTGCCCCCCAGGACAGCCTGAACCGGGCGCCTGAGGGTGGGTGCCACATGGGGGGGCCCACTGCTGCTGCAGAGAGAAGCAGCAGCCCAGGGACCGCTCCACCCGCCGGCATCTCGCTGCTGCCAGAGAGGCAGGTAAATCATCAGGGTGTCTGCACAACACAGGGGTTTAATCAGTCCTAAATTGAAGCCGTGTTTTTAAAAACCCACCGCTTCACCTTAGGGCCCCTGTTTCATCTACACACGCCCCTAGGCTACTGTCAAACTACTCCAAGAAGATAATACAGATTCACGGTTCTGGTATTATGCTGGACCTGGGACCAACACTCAGCTGATTGTTGATCCCAGCCCTGGCATCACACTGGCGTCCATTCACAATTCAGTGCAGTGTGGGGGCTAGGACCAGCAATAAGCTGATTGTCAGTCGCATCCCCTACATTGCACCTGATTGTCAGTCCCAGCCCTAACACACACCAGGACTGATTCAAGGATTCTGGTGTGGTATCGGGGCTGGGACAGGCAACCAGTGAGCTGGTGAGCTTGTTAAAAATCATAGTAAGCATTCATGTGTGATTGCTCAGAACATGTTCTAGCTTTTCATCCAGCACAGTAATGCTAATTACAATCTAAATAAAACATGTCCTGAGTGTCTTGTGCTACAAGGCCCATAGAAGACATATCACCCAGTGCTCCTGTATTTCAAAACATAACTGGTGGTAGTGTCACATCCTTTTTACCCAATAAGTCAGATACATCCACTGACATATTCATCCAGAATGTGAGATACAAGCAATCGATTTTATCCTCTGTCACTAGGGTTTCTTTCCCACCTGTCAGAAGCATGCTAATCACCAGGTTACAGGCCATTCTGGATCATGGGAGGGAAGACACTCTCACTGTTCCCTGTTATAATTGTTCTAATTTGCCTAAAACAATTAAAGATCAGGTCAAAGGAAGCAAGAAATGAAATGACTATCTAGTTTGTTTTTTGAGGGATTCACCTGGGACTTGCTCCAATAATTAGCCCTTAACAGTTGCATTAATATCTATAAAATAATATCAAACAATGCTGAGCAGATAATCTATTCTTTTCATTTCTGAGCTTCAGAAAACATTCTTCAAAATGACACATATTTAATAAAGCAAGCTGATCTATTTATTGATAGCAACTCCATCCTAGTAGTAAGATGTTTTATATAGTGTTCTCATTTGACTTAATTTTCATAAAAATAGTTTTGATTTCTTAAACATGGTTTCTTCTGAACTGTTATTCTTTAACTAAACAAGCTAAAACATTGGAAATGGAATTCTTCATTTAGTATTTCATAAAATAGTTCATATAATGAATTTAAAAGACCTATTCTATTGGCTTTCAGAGAGTTATACCAGGGATGACTAAAAGAAGTGCTGTGGTTTTTTAATGTTAGCCTTTTTGGTGGCCAGTAGCTTTAAACACTAAGGTATTTTTCAAATATCTTTCGTAGAGGCCCGATTCAAAGTATACGGAAATTTGTGTAAAAACTCCAATTGACTTTGACAGATTTTGGATCAGGCCCTAAAACTGAAACTGTTAAAAATAAAATTCCCATGTAATTTCCTCTAAGTTATGATGAGAAATGACACACCTCCCGCAGCTTCTCATTGATCTTAACTCGAGCCCATAAACTGACGTGTGAAAGGTGGTAAAAAGGGAACCTATGAAGCCTGGAAAAGACTCAGATTTTATGGGTTATTGATTTACCAGTGAAAGTTTTGCCAAGTTTAAGTGAAGGACAACAAAAAAGAGTCATGACCTACAGCACTTGACCTAACTCCTTCTACAGTAGTGGACTTACTCTTCATAGAATCTACATATTTTTCCTAAAATAAAGGGCTACAATATAAAATGCTAGAGATTAAAAATTGTCTGGGTTATACAAAGATGAGTATGTATGTCCACCAATAATTCTAATAAAGTGCTATAATATCATTATAAAGTTAAAACATTATGCATAGCATAGTATGTATAATAAATGCTTAGTATAAATAATGCTTATTAAGGTACTGGACTGATATCATCCATTTAGCCACAAAACAGGTATAGTATGGAGTCAGTGTTCTAGCCCAGAGGTCAAACTTAAGATGGAACAATCCCATGCACCAGTACAGGCTGGGCGCTGACTTGCTGGGCAGCAGCTCCGCAGAACAGGACCTGAGTGGACAATAAGCTCAAGATGAGCCAGCAATGTGCTCTTGTTGCCAAGACAGCTAACAGCATACTGAGCTGCATTAGTAGGTGTGTTGCCAGTAGGTCAAGGCAAGTGATTATTCCCATCTATTCAGCACTGGTGAGGCCACATCTGGAGTACTGTGTTCAGTTTTGGTCCCCCCACTACAGAAAGGATGTGGACAAATTGGAGAGAGTCCAGCAGAGGGCAACAAAAATGGTGAGGGGGCTGGGGGACATGATTTATGAGGAAAGACTGAGGGAACTGGGCTTATTTAGTCTAGAGAAGAGGTGACTGAGAGGGGACTTAATAGCAGCCTTCAACTACCTGAAGCAGGGTTCAAAAGAGGATGGAGCTAGACTATTCCCAGTGGTGGCAGATGACAGAACAGGGAGCAATGGTTTCAAGTTGCAGCAAGGGAAGTTTAGGTTAGATATTAGGAAGAATTTTCTCATTAGGAGGGTAGTAAAATACTGGAACAGGTTGCCCAGAAAGGTGGTGGAAACTTCATCCTTGGAGGCTTTCAAAACCCGGTTAGACAAAGCTTTGGCTGGAATGATCTAGCTGGGGCTGGGGCTGGTCTTGCTTTGAGAAGGGGTTTGGAGTAGATGATCTCCTGAGGTCCCTTCCAACCCTAACTTTCTATCTTGCTATGATTCTATGAAAGGATAGTCATGTTTAATGTCCATTCATTCTTTCTTTCACTATTTGGACTGCTAGCAGCCATGCCATTCAGTGCCAGTTATGGTGGCATTTTGCGATGTTGACAGCTGTTCATTCACAAATAGACCAGAGACAGTGAGCAAATTTTACAAAAACAACTGAACATCTTTCATGTAGTAACAACTTCCCACCAAGAAAAATCTAAATTTAAGGACTGCCATTTACTGGGTCAGACCATAGGTTCATCTTGTCTGGTATTCTGTCTCACACAGTGGCAGAGAGCGGATGCTGAAACAGAGAGTGAATTGGGTACAACCAAGGTTTTTCCCACTTGCCGCCTCTAGCATTTAAGGTCTGACTTTGAGACTGTACCCCTAACTTTCATGTTCAATAACTACTGATTTACCTTTCCTTCAAGAATTGTTCCAATCCCTTTCTGAATGTGGTTAAACCGACAGCTTCCACAGCTTCTCTTGGCAATAAGCTCCACACTAATTACACACTGGGTGCATCTACACATTCATTACCATGCTTTAGATACTGCACATTTAGTTTAATACTTGCTTAATAAAGTACTAAGTAAATGCACAGTAACAAGAGTTACTGCACAGTAGCACTGGCACATGGTTAATTTGTGATGCTCACTGTGCATTAGCCTAATAACATTGCACAGTAGGTTATTAGCAGTTTTTAACCACCACACTATTGTGCAGTGTTATTAGGCTAATGCACAGTAAGCATTTCATGTAGACATGCCCACTATGTGAAAAAGAACTGCCTTTTGTTGGTTTTAAACTTATTACCTAGTTTATGTTATGATCCCTGGTTCTTGTGCTGTGAGAGACAGTAAATAATAAATCTCTATTTATTTTCTCTTCACCATTTAGCATTTTCTAAACCCTTTTCATGACCCTCCCTCAAACATTTTTTTCTAAATTGAAAAGGCCTAACCTCTTTAGTCTCTCCTCATGTGGAAGCCCCTCCATACCACTAAACATCTTTGTTGCTCTTCTCTGTACCTTCTCTAGTTCTTTAATATCCTTTTTGAGGTGTGACGAGCAAAACTGGGCACAGTATTCAGAGTGTGGATGCACTGTGGCTCTATAAACGGACGTAATGATACTTTCCATTTTGTTTACAAATCTCTTGTTAATAATTTCTAACTGAGCTGATGTTTTTAATGCACTGCCCACAATGACTCCCAGGTCTGCACCAAGTTTTATTCTATTTTAACTATAGAGAGCCTATAGTTCTGCAGTCAGTTAGGCCTGAGGCAACCCAGCACCCCTGCCACACATTCATTATAATGTGCAGTATTTCTCTGCCCTCCCCCCCATAAAAAGCTTTTCTTAGGCTTGGCTTGTGTTCCTCTAAAGCTTCCTATGAAGCAGGAATACATGAAGCTTGTAATTTTTTCATATATATATTGAATGATTTATAGATATTAGGAAAGGATGTGTATATATGTACGTTCATGCATGCAGAAGTAGCAAAAGGGAGATTCATCATGCTGTAATTTTTTTCATTTCAGTATTCAAATGTTTTGTTTTTCTTACCTGGCACTCTCTTTGCCCAGTTGATCATGTGCACAAGTTCTCGGTCTGCAAGGTTTGTCAACAAGGTCATCATAGAGGCTTCATTGAAAGGTCTGTTTGGGTCATACTCGGAATAGACTATGGGAGGCTCAGCTTCCAGCAAGGCACTGACCATTTGCTCTGCTGTCAGGGATAGGGCTGGACTATTCTTCTTAGTATGCTTAATCACAAGTGGACTTGTCCAGAGGGTGGGGGTTCTCATCTCAGCAGTAGCAGTTTCTCCATTTCTGGCATCCTGCTCCTCTCTTTGGCGTTTTTGTTTCAACATACGCCCACCTCTCCGGTCTTTTCGGATCCCTAGAGACACAAAGAGTACAATGATGTTCATTTCCTTAAATTTGTATAGCTAACGTATAGTTTCAACCTATTAACAGCTGTTACTGATAGATCCATGTGGCATTTCTTTCTGGTTTATTTTGTTAAAAATCTTTCATACATACAGAATTTAGACCATTATATGAGGAGAGGACAGGAGTTATGTGTATTTGTAAATGTATAATATTAAGAATACTCCATTACTTATTAACATTCAGATCAGACAGGTTTATCAGACATAATACTCCCATCCTCCCTCCCTCTTCCCCTCCAAAATCAATAACTTTCTCTATGCAAAACTCCAAAGATATGCAAGAGTTTTTGCTGTGTCAGTACCTGCTTTTTGGTACCTACCTAATTAGGTACCTATCTAATTGTGGCATCCATGACAAATTTTTTCCTAGTTTCCATCAGGGATAACTTTCTCATCAACTTGGTGCCAATAGGTCACAAAAGCAACCCCCTTAACTGCTCACAACAGCAATGCTTCGATCCACTGACCATTTTAACTAAACATTATGTTACCTAAACTAATCACTGAGCAGTATTTGTTCTTTGTTAGTAATGAACGCTTCATAAACAGAGAGAGACAGAGAAGAGAAAGGAAGAGAAAGGAAGAGAAGACAGATAATATATTAACCCTAGTGTCAAGTGAAGATGCAAGACTAATATTTTTTGGGGGGCAGAGATTGTCACTTCCATTACTTTTTTATATAACATCTAGCACAAGAGGTACTAATCCTTGGAATATTACCATAGCAGCACCAGTAGTTGCAAGAACAGAAGCCTTGCCAGAGAGTAAAATTTCTCTTTGTGGAAAAGTTACCTGGCAGCCAGGTTGGGCTACATCAATAATAAGAGAAGGTGGAGGCTAGATTGGAGTCTAGAGGAAAAGGCATGGTTATTTGGGATCTGACGACTGCCTGGAGTAAGTTGTACCATTAAACACCTTCTCCACCTACTGAAAAGCACTCTAGCTCAAAGCTGTCTTGAAACTGCCAAATCTTCATGTTTTTTATATGGTTTAAAATGTAATAAAAAAGCCAAAATGACCCCTTCCAAATGCAGTGCTTTCTTTATGTCTATAAATGATTTTCAGAGACTTTTTTACACTGTTACTTCCTCTAGCTAGAAGGGTTGTCAAGATCATCTTGACGCTTGGTCATGGCCTCCAGGTCAAAGATTGCTGTATGAATAAACATCTTCATGAAGAGGATGACATTTTACTAGATTTGTATACGTGAAGATGGCAGACTTTTTCTTCTAAACTTGTTAATATTTTGTAGGTTCCCTAAATAGTATTCAATTTAATTTTCCAGAAACACTAGATTCAATCATTTCCATGCTTTAGGTTTGTTGGTTGTAGCCGTGTTGGTCTAAGAACGTGGGTAGACAATTTTTCCAACAATTTAGTTGGTCTAATAAAAGATATCGCATTTACCCAAAGAACCTTGTCTGCCTACATTCAATAAATTTCTCACCAGACTTGCTACTTGACCATTTTATGTCTTCCCATTACGTAAAGTAACGTTCTATAAGCCAAGTGCTTTAAAAGGTTTGCTGTTCCTACATAATTCATAAATGTATTGCTATTTTTCTTACCACAAAAAGTTTCTTGAGACCAAAAATGTAGACCTATTTTGACAAAACTTCTTTGTACAGCAATTCTCATTAGGAGATTACGGCTGAAAATTCAATAAGAAATGTCTTCTTTAATAGTTATTTTGCTGTATGGTTTTTTGCCACTGTGATGTTACAGAATTAAAATTGCCTTATGACATCAGCAGGCTCAACCATGTGAAAGAAAGCTACATGGCTCACACATACTCAAACACTTCATAACTTCACCACATCCTGGATTATATAGTTGTTAATCCAATACAGCAGCTTCCCTTTAAAAATCATCTGATTCATCAAAATATAAATGTGTACTTCTGTAGAACCTTTTAACGTTTATCTGCTCAAAGAGATGAACTTACAGTAATGAGTATTATTCAAATCAACAGGCAGACAGGAAAACTTGCCCTGAAGATAGAAGGAAAATACTCATTGTTTTTAAACTGTCGTGAGTGCTAAAACAAGCCTCCCAGTCTCTATTACCAATCATCACTCAGTGTTTGTAGGGACATAGTGCTTTGTTGTGTGCGAAAGACACACTGAAGACATTCTCCAGTTATTCCTTCTTCCCACATCGGTATTTCACAGAAATGATTTGACAAAGGTGTTAGGGGTGACTAACACAATTTTGTCAAGGCTGCTGGCTCTTTTCCTGTAGCCAGTAGCATAACAATGGGTGGGTGAGCAAGGCATGAGTAAGGCCTAAGAGCTATGGGGAATGCTGGAATTGAGCTAAGATGTCTCCTTATCCTCCTATTCACCATCCTTCCACACACATCCTGCACCTTTCCTGCAGTGACTGCAGCAGTAGCAGAAGGGAAGGCAGAGCAAGAATGGCAATGCACACCTTTGCACACCATTGCACTCAAAAAATAGAGTTTTGCTGCTGGTGGTGAGGCATCTTAACATGTGTTGATGACTAAAAAGGTGGCATTCCCCCAACACTGCCAGAGCAGTGAACCTGTTGGTCACTGCACCTAGTTCATGCATTGTGCCAGTTATGCCTCTTCCTATAGCTGTAAAAAAGCTGAGGGCTACCTTTTATATCAAATGGATGTTAAGTACAGGATCTGGTGAAAAAATGGTGAAGCCAAGTTTTTCCACCCTAATTCCGGAAGATCAGACCTGGAAATGTAATGAATAAATAATCCTTTTAATATATGCTACATATGGTGGCAGGTGTTAATCAGCAGGAGTATTGCTAAAAGAATCATGCTCTTAAAAATATCAGTACTAGTGGTGAAGCTGAATCTGGAAATCACATCCAAACTGACCTGAAATTCAGGTAATGTGACTACTGCAAACATTGGCTTCTGATCCTTCCTGTTTTGCCAATAGGGCAATTCACAGTCTTAATGCTGATTTTTCACACTAGAGACTTATATAGGTTGGAACCTATTTACCTGATATATTATCTCTCCGTGTATTTCATCATAATCTTTGATATAAACTCCTCTCCATGGACCAAGATCTTGTAGTGGTGGAGAAGCTTATGTGTCTCAATGATCCTCAGAGCTGTGTTACCCAAAGCCATACACTTGTGCCAGAGTCACCCACGGCGTGCAGGCCAGAGGGAAGGTTCCAAACTCCAGGTGAAGATGATGTCAGGAAAAAGGCTGCAGCAAGATGGAGCTCTCCTGTTATCTAGGGTTCTCCCTTGCCAGTAGGCTTAGATCTCTACCTTGTCAAGATCATGTGGTTGCTGTTTCTGTGCGCCAGCTTCCTTATCTTAAACAAAGTCATATGCAGGCTTCTACCATAGGAAAGAACGTGTTCTCCCATACCAGTCTCCAAAAGCCCTGCAGTGCTGGACCAGAGTGAATCCTGCAGTCTCCAGCCATGAACCTGCAAGCCGTGGAAGCCTGATGGTTATCTTGCACCTTGGTTGAGACAGGGGTGCAATTTGGTTGCTGCTACCATGACTAAACGATCCTATTCAACATCCCCTCTGCTCACCCCACATGGGGAAGGAGCTAGAAAAGATGTCCTAAACCTAAGCTGTCTTTTCTGCTTCTGGCTGGATAACCACATCCAGCAGGATCACTCTGCAGTTGAAAACATCATAAGAAGACACTCACTTTCCCAACATGGAATGTTCACATCTTGATGAATAACCAAGACAGTGAATGACCAGAAAGAAGAACTGCCATTGTCCCCAGGGAACTGGAGAGATATAACACTGACATTGCAGCTCTGAGACAAGATGACCAGATATGAATCAGATAAGGGAAGAGGGTGGAGACCATACCTTCTTCTGGAAAGGGAAACTAGCCCAGGACAGATGCAGTCATGGCATTAGGTTCATCATCAAGAATCAGTCCATCATTTAACTTACAGAGCTCTCTGTGGGGATTAATAGACATCTTATGACTGTCTGTCTTAAGCTCAGCAAAAAAAAGTATGCCACTGTCATTAGTGTATATGACACAATGCTTGATACTGATGACTATGTCAAAGAACAGTTCTATTCCAACCTTGATCACATACTAACACTCACAAGGAAGACAAAATCATTCTCCTTCATTACTTCAATGCCAGAGTTGGATGTGACCTCAAACTCCAGAGTGGCATCACTAGGAGTAGGCAGAGTGACAGATAGAAGACCACCTGGAGAAACCCTTGCACTAAGCACCTCCTTAACTATGTTATTGTTAGGGCCCGTGATCAAATGGATGTCCATATCACATAAGCTATATGAGAAGCCAATGACTGCTGGATAGATCACTATCTTGTCATATCCATTAGTAACATCCGCCTTGCTCCAAAACACTGAAAACAGCCAAAAGCAATGCAAAGGACTCTAAACACCTAATCTCTTCAAGACCCAAAGGTCTGTAAAGATCTCCAACAGTGTCACTGTCACTGTCTCTCACCCCATTCTCATTAATAAATTGAGCGACTGTGGCATCGATGCCTATACAGTTGGATGGGTCAAAAATTAACTGATGGGGTGCACCCAGAGAGTGGTGGTGGACGGGTCACACGTGACCTGGCAGGATGTGAATTGTGGGGTCCCCCCCAGGGCTCGGTCCTGGGGCCTACATTGTTCAACATCTTCATCAGCGACTTGGATGAGGGGGTGGAAAACACGTTATCCAAGTTTGCCAATGACACCAAGATGTGGGGAGAGGTAGGCATGCTCAAAGGGAGAGAGAGGCTGCAATTAAATTTAGACAGACTACAGAAGTGGACGGATGGTAATAGGATGGGCTTCAATGTAGATAAATGCAGGGTACTGCACCTGGGGAGAAGGAATCCACAGCATACATACAAGCTGGGGAGCTCCCCCTTTGTGAGCACAGAGGCGGAAAGGGATCTTGGAGTCATTACTGACTCCATGATGAACATGAGCCGCCAATGCCAGA